ACAGCACGGGGACGCCTCCAACCCCCCCCCCCCCCCCACACTGGCAGACTCCAGCAGGAACACCGGGGAAGGAGACCCCGGCCCCAGGCCATGTCCACAGTCGGCAGCTATAGGCAGAGCCGCCCCAGACACGAGCTGGGGGGGACAACGTGAGGAGCATCCGCCCGAGGATGCCTGGCCCCTCCCTCCTGGCTCAGGTGGAGGTGGTCACCTCCCAGGACGGCAGCGGCCGGCCCCGGTGACTCCTGAACTCACTGTGGGGGGTCGTGTCCGGCTGCTGAGCCTAGGTCTTGAGATCATGCTACAGAAGCCTCCGCTGCGCCATCCCCGCTGGGACCCTCCACGTGACCTGCAGCCAACAGCCGGCCAAGGGGCTGCCAGACAATCCCCTCCTCTCCCAGGCTGGGCACCTGTGTCCTGCTGGCCTGGGCCACGTGGACATGGCAACCGCGCCAGGCTCCTGCACCAGCCCGTGGGTCCTGTGGGTCCCAGCTCCCCCAGTGAGGCTGGACCAAAGGGAGCCTGCTCGAGGCATCCATGCCTCCCAGCCACAGCCACCGACTGCCCGCGGGGAGGCTCAGGCCAGCCGCCCGCGACCCGACCATGGACACACCGCCTCGGCAGGGGAGGACGGGACCTCGGAGGCCCGGCACAGCCCTCAGCAGGCCGCCTGCCCGCTGCCCGGGGGGAGCCGCAACAGCCTCTCAGACCGAGACCTCCGAGCTGCGTCTGCCAGGTGACACCCCAAACCTGGGCCTGGGAGAACCTTCTGAGGGAGAGACACAGGCCCGACAGGACAAAGTCATCTTTTATTTGGGGGTCACATCAGACAGCAAGCCGCCACGGGGAGCCTCTGTACAGCACAGATCTGCTCCCGCCGCTGACTGAAGTTTTTAAAAGTTGAGATTTCATACACAGAAAAGAAAAAACACCTGTCAAGTAATTTCTATTTCCCAAACGTTCCTCCTCTGAAGAACCTCAGGAAACGCGGCGCATCTGGAAGGGGCACCAACCTCCACAGACGCACCATCGGGCCGGCAGTGGATGGAGGGAGGTCTGGCAAAGCCGCACCCGTCGGGCCCAGCAGCACAGCACCACCCCGCCACCGGGGTCCACCGTGGGTCGCAGGACACCCAGCTGCCCACGGGCTACCCAGTGCTGGGCGGAGAGGGACTTGTGGTATACGGACCCCAAGAGCACAAAACTTAGGAACAAAGACAAAATGAAAGACTCTTTTTCACAAGAGCGGGTTGAATACACACAAGCAGTAAATCAAAGAGCAATTTTAAATAAATTGATCAAAAAACAAAGAACGTGAAAGATGCACCAACGCCGGGCTGCACGCGGCTTCCCTGCCGGCCTCTGGAGTGAGGTCACAGTGTGTCGTGCGGCGGCACTCGGACACAGCGCCTTCCAAACACCGTGCAGGGATGTCATTAGCAGAGACGAGAACAGGGAGACGTCGGCGATCCAGGAGGCGCAGGCCCCAGGTCTGAGACGGCGCCCATCGGCGCTGCCCCTGAACCCGGGTGTCCTTCCCGGGCGGCCAGCCTCTAAGAACCGGCCACGGATCCGCTGTGAAAGGGAATGTGTGAGCCTGTCTCCAGGGCAAACCAAAGAGCTGGACCACGTGTGCGGGAAGCCCCACGTGTGCAGAGCCTGTCCGGCGGGTGGGACCCAGGGGCCTGCTGGGGGGTCTCCTCCTTCCATTAGTGCAGCCAGTGGGAGCCCGCAGGAAGCCATGGGGGTGAGAGAAAGCCGGCAGCGCGACCGCGCAGGACGCACAGCTCAGCCCCGGTGACAGCCTGTGGTCAGAAAGGAAGCAGATTCTCAACTTCAGCAAAACAGAGCACACGTGCTTTTTCCCAGGAGGAACCTGCTTCATTTTAAGTAAACACCAATGCCAAAGCCCAATCCCCTGACCCACCCATGGCCGTCCCCAGCCAGCGGGCCCCGGGCCACCCTGCTGGGCCCCCGGCACCGCCTGCAGAGTCAGAGCTCCACACTAAGAACGCACGCAGAGTGTTGGATAGGCATCGAGTTTTATATTTTTAAGTGACCAAATCTAATAAAATGAAAAACAGGTTACTAAAATAGGTCCAAAAGACAATACAGGAGATAAGCTATAAAACCAAAGCGTGAGGCCCTCTCGTGGACATGGAGCCTCCCAGCCCCCAACGGACGCCAGGGCACAA